TGGCTTAACAGTGATCTAGCCAAACCTGATGCTGCTCAATTTCAAGAATTGAAGAAGCACGTGACCCCTCTTCAACAGGAGAACCTTATTCTGGATAGAGATGGGACGATTATCATAAATCATGGTGGCTCAATGCAAGAAGCAGCAGATTGGTGGCGTATGAAAGTGATCCCTGGCAATGACATCTCAGAAGCCATCAGAAACTATCTGGATTGCAAGCTTGAACCACACTGGCATGAGTGTCAGAATCCAAGGAATCTGGTCTCTATCAGAGCAAAGGTCAATGTTATACTGAAGAAGATTGATGAAGCAGAAGCACAGGTAGATGAGGAAGATCTCTAAACTCTCACTCTATCTCTTGTAATTCTTATACTACGCTCTGATCAATAAGATAACCAGCTTGCCTCTATTTTGAATGGCAATTTCAAATTCTGTGTTCTTTATTGCTTTATGTATTTATCTATCTCTTTTTTAATTAACTGTACCGTACTCTTACTATTTTCCTATGCCAAGTGCCCACCAAGATTCTAAATGAAAGTTTATTTTTTTTCTTCATGGTGAAAAGCACTTCTCTGGAAATAGTTTAAGGGTTTTGGCATCATCAAAAAGGGGGAAATTGTAAGGAATAAATGTAATTAGATTTTGATGATGCTAGGATAATTAGATTAGAATTTTAGAGTACCCCCATATAGATTTCATGTATTAGAAATTTTCAGTTGTAAGCATTAGTATAGTCGACATCAGAGTTGCTAAGTGGATCTGATCAGAGCTGCCTTATGAGAGCTGCTCTTCAGAGCTGCTGATCAGAAAGCCATCAGAGAAGCTCATCAGACTCCGACTTACACTTGGAAGATTTCGAAGCTGTCCTCAACGACCGGGAAATCCATTAACGGCTAGAAGATATTTTATCCAAGGAAAGCATTCAATGCTCATTTAATGAGACTGACACGCTGTGGATTGATTGCAAATGATTGACCGAGAAATCTGGAAGATATATTATAAAAATAGAAAGCTTCCAAATTAGTGGGTCAAGTCAACAGTACGCGCATTTAATGCAGTTGTCTCCTCCTCCAACGGGCAGACAACCCCAGTATATAAGCTACACGCTGAAGAACAGGAAGACAACTTTGCCCACTTCAACATTCAAAAAGCTCTCTTGAGATTCAAACTCTACAATCTTCAACAAGACAAGCTTACGTTGGGAAGATTCAAATATCCATATCCTCCAATCCCAACACACAGCAAAGTTCATCCTATTCTTCAACCTTCAAGAACTTCAACTACACATCCTTTGTAACGAAGCAAGTTGGAGAAAACTCTGTTTTCAGAACATCTTCTGCAAAGAAGGGAGTCCAAGTAACTGCAGTAGTGAAGTGGTGATACTTCCGGGAAACTGAGTGAAAGGACCAGCCATCAGAACGTGGAACTGCATCCTGGGTGGCAACTAGGCTTGAAGAAGACGTGAAGAGCTTCTTAAGTGCTAGGGAACTAAGGCTTTGTAACTGACGCTTTACAACTTAGTGGAACAGTGGACTAGAGGAACGCGTTGTTCCTTGAACCACTATAAAAACCGGTGTCATTTACTTTACTTCACTTTAATTTCTCCACTTAGGACTAAACTGTTTAACTCTAAGACTTGGAATCTGTGTTCAGCAGATCTTGTTTTCTGAGTTATCAGAAAGGCATTTGCCTTAGTATTTTTGAGGCTACCCGGAACTCTTATCCGCTGCAAGACCAGTTCTGATCATCAGAACTCGACCCTCTCTGATAAGTCAACTCTGACTTAGAGAAAAGTTGAAAAACTTTAATCAGTCTATTCACCCCCCCCCTCTAGACTGATTACCAACTCAAACGGGACCAACATCCTTTATCAACTCCATCCACCGTCTCTGTCTCATGTTTTACTCTTTCTGAGTAAACACGTATTTCAAGCTCTTATGATCAGTATATATGTGACATGTCTCTCCGTAGAGATAATGCCTCCAAATCTTTAGTGCGAACACCACTGCTCCCAACTCTAGATCATGGGTAGGGTAATTTACCTCATGCTTCTTCAACTATCGTGAAGCATAGGCAATTACCCTCCCCTCCTGCATCAACACACATCCAAACCCTTGGATGCTCGTGTCACTATAGACATCGTACCCCATACCCTGTTTGGGTAATGCAAGTACCGGTGCCTCGGTCAATCTCTTCTTTAGTTCAATGAACCCTTCCTCACATTTGTCATCCCATACAAACTTAGCTCCTTTTCGAGTGAGCTTCGTCAATGGCGACGCCAAAACAGAGAACTTTTCCACAAACTTTCTGTAGTAGCCTGCCAATCCAAGGAAACTACGAATTTCCTTGACATTCTTTGGTCTCTCCCATTCGGTAATGGCCTCTATCTTCTTGTTATCAACAGAAATTCCCGATCCCGAAACCACATGCCCGAGAAAACCAATTTCCTTTAGCCAAAATTCACATTTAGAAAATTTGGCATAAAGTTGCTTCTCCCGTAGTGTCTCAAGAACAAGTATCAAGTGCTCCTCGTGCTCTTCTTCACTCTTTGAGTAAATCAAGATGTCATCTATGAACACAATCACGAATCAATCCAAGTATTTATGGAATACTCGGTTCATCAAGTCCATGAATGCCGCTGGGGCGTTTGTTAACCCAAACGACATAACAAGGAACTCAAAATGCCCATACCTTGTGCGGAAAGCACTCTTCGGTATGTCATCTTCCTTAATCTTCAATTGATGGTACCCCGACCTCAAGTAAATCTTCGAAAACACGGTTGCTCCTCGTAGTTGATCAAACAAGTCATCAATCCTAGGCAAAGGATACCTATTCTTGATTGTGACCTTGTTCAGTTGACGATTGTCAATGCACATTCGAAGTGTCCCATCTTTCTTTTTCACAAAAAGAACCGGTGCTCCCCACGGGGAGTGGCTTGGTCTAATGAAACCATTATCCAAAAGCTCTTGCAATAGGGTTTTCAACTCGTTAAGTTCAGCGGGTGCCATACGGTATGGCGGTATGGAGATTGGTTTGGTGCTGGGCTCAACCTCGATCACAAATTCAATCTCCCTATCAGGTGGAAGCCCCGGCAGGTCTTTTGGGAAGACATCCGGGTACTTACAAACCACCCTCACGTCGTCGATGTTCACTTCCTCCTTGGTTTTGTCAACCACGTATGCTAGATATGTGTGGCATCCCTTTCTCATCATACTCCTTGCTCTCACGGTGGATATGATACAACTATTTGATTTGTCTCGGTCTCCCTCGAAGCGTAGGGTGTCCCCATCATTGCCTTCGAGTTCCAAAACCTTTGTGTAGCAATCTACCCTAGCATGATGCTTTTCTAGCCAATCCATCCCTAGGATTGCATCGAACTCCATCATACTCAGCGGTACAAAATCACACGTCAAGGTTTGGCCACCGACTTCCACCTCACAAGATGGATAGTAATAGGTTCTTTCAACGTCATCCCCTAGTGGTGTCGATACCATTAAAGTTTGCGTCAACGGCATTGGTTGTATCTCTAAGCCCTCGGCGAACGCCTCACTCACGAATGAACGTTGCGCCCCGGTATCGATAAGGATTCGCGCATCCTTCCCATTAATCTTTAGTGTCCCTACATTCATCAACCATGTAAGACATCTTTCCTACCCTCCCTACTCATTTATAGAAGGTTACAATGTTCACACACATGTTAGGGATCAAGAAAAGGTCTTAACGTCGCAAAACGGTGCGAAAAATCGGTTTTCGGCAATCTAGGTGCCAGGCACGGCGTGTCTGGGGTAGGCACGATCGTGCCTGGCTTGGAAAAAGCCTAGGGAGCTACTGCCATGCAGGCACGATCGTGCGTGCCCTTAGGCACGATCGTGCCTGAGCGAAAACAGCCCGAAATTGCCCGAAATCCTCCAAGTTCGACCCCGAAGCTTTGTGCAATGATCCCAACGTTTAGTAACCTCAATTTATGGACTAATAAAGGATAAAAACACAAGTATACAAGAGGTAATACCTGCAACGGAATCCGGGTTAGCTTGAGCATCCGCCTCCGTCATCGCATAGACTCTAGCTTGAGTCCTTTCTTGATTCACCGATGGCGCATTGCTCGTGCTTGCTCCTCCATTCCCCCTAGTTAATTGGGAACCCCGGGCTTGGTTTCTCGTCCCCATAGCCCCGCTACTTGGTCCTGATGCCCTCGTTCCGCCCAGTTGTGGGCAACTCATCTTCATGTGCCCGGTGCTCCCGCATTGGTAGCATCTAGGAGGGTCACGACATTTCCCCAGGTGGTTCCTCTTTCAATTCTTGCAACGAGTCACCCCCGAGGCTTGTGATTGCCCGCCCGAGCCTTGACTTCCCCTAGATGGCAGTGGGGGTGTCCGAAAAGATCCCCCTCCTCCATGGTTCCCTTTTTTGTTAGGACCCTGAGGTCCATGGTTCTCCCACTTTCTCTTCTTCGCCTCTTCGGCATTTTTCAACTTTCTTTCTTCCCATTCCTTCTCTCCTTTCAATCCCTGCTCGACCACCTGGCTAAAAGTCATGTTAGGCAACTGTGTTGCCCTCTCACGCACCTCCAAGTCTAAGGCATCCCAGAAGTGATTTACCATCTGGTTCTCATCACAGACATACTCCGGTATGAACTCCGTGAGCTCCCTGAATTTGTGTTCAAGTTGCCTCACCGTCATTTTGCCACCTTGGGTTAGGAGGTGATAAGTCTGATTTGTTCATATATTTTTACTCACTTTTTATAACGTTTCTTGTTAAACTCAAGGCAAATTGATATACTTTTCTGTGTTTTTGTTGCATTTTTGTTCATGTTTAAAATTAGTGTCGAAATTTACGTTTTTTGCGTGATTTGTGTTTAATTCAAGTGTTTGGATTGTGTTTTTTTTTGTTCTTATTTGTGTTATCTGTATTTTGTGATTTGTCAAATTTTAGTATTATATTATATTTCAATGTTATTTTAATACAATAATCAAATAAAGCAAAAAAAATCATGAAAAGGAAATAAAAAAAACAAGCAGCGTAGCTGCATTTCAAAATCAGAATAAACAAAAAGAAAGAAAAAAATCACAAAAGCAGCCAAGCTGCGTAACAAAGAAAACAAAACAAAATAAACAAAAGAATAAAAAAAATAAACAAAGGAGATAAGATGGGAGTAGTCGGCCAACAAAAACAAGAGGAGGAAAGTTAGCAAGAAGCTCCTGCACATGGGCGGTAAAACAGGAAGGGACAGCTCGATCCATCAGCCAACCAAGAAAATAAGGAGTGCATTTCTAGTTGCAATAAAAGAGCTCTTGGCCGCAAGGGAAGTAACATTCAGCTGCAGAAACATATACACACCCAGCTCCAATTCGAAGGAGGCAAAGGATTGAGCTGAAAATATACACCTGAAAAACTCAGCCGCAAGTAGCTCCGGCAGAAAAATTCAAGCTGTTAGGGAGAAGAATAGAGCTCAAAACACTCAGAAGAAAATGGGAAACGAAGCACATAGCAGCACCAACAGTTCTGGTTAATCTTTTGTTATCTTTCAATTTCAATCCTAATTTCATGCTTAGATTCAAACTTCAATAAGCTTTCAGTTTTAATTTCCGTATTATTTCATATTTGGAATTGCTATTTACTTGGGATTATTATTGGATACTTGTGTTGTTAATGACGTTTAAGTACTGTTTAGTAATATCTGCATGTTGCTCTAGCCCTTTTATAAATTGTTTTAGTTTCTTAATAATAATAATTATGTTAGGCTAAAATTCCCTTGGGGTTTGGATTTGGATAAAGTTAAGGTTAATGGGTATTCTTGAATATTGAATTGAGTTTGGGAAATTCTCTAATTTTTAGGACTAGTTGTTTGAGATAAATTTGAATGAGTAATTTGTGAAATTGATCACTTCACTTGTGAATGTTTGGAAAATTAATTCTTGCTTGTCTATGAGTGTAGAATTAATTTAGTTCACATCTCACACATCCTAAACTAAGCCTAGAAATAGGACATGTTAGGGAATTAAAATTAAATTCTTGTCTATGAGAATTAATGTTACTATTCTTAGATTGGAGAAAATACCCAAATTTATTTATAATCAAAGACACTCAAGATCCTTACTTCCAATTCTAAACCCCACTTTTAATTAGTTAATTTATTGTTACTAGTCACATTAAATTTACCTTTTAGCATTTTATTTTCAAAACTTTTTTTCATCCACATGTTCGCTAGTTTAAATTAGTATTTTAATTTCTCTCTCAATTTATTTTGCATGTTCACTAGTTTTAGTTTACTCATTAATGTCATTTAATTAAATTCCCCACTACTACTTTTGTTGTTTAATTTTATTTACTTAACCATTATCATAATTAATCGATTGAGAAAGCTTGCAACGACTCGTACTAACCGGTGACCGATATTGAAACCAACACTTCCCTCCGCCACTCCTCAGAGACACGATACTCGGGGATAAATTTTTCCATCCGGAAAGGTTAAACTCCGTTTTACTACAACGCCGCGAAAGCGGTTATCAAATGGCGCCGTTGCCGGGGAGTGGCACAGTTGTAAGTTGGTTTTTATTATTGACATAGGCGAACCCGAGTTAGTGAGACTTTCTCCTTTATTTTCTGTTTTTTTTTGTGTTGTTTTCTCAAGTTTGCAGGATCAATTTGTAAAATCTCTCTCTTTCAAACATGGCAAGTTGCTATCATTTGCTCTCTGCCTCAAAGAACATTATTGAGAGGGTTTGATAAAAAAAAAATTCACCAGGATGAGGGAGAGGCAAATAGTGCTTGATGCTTTAACCTTGGACTTTTCTGAGGATGATAACATCATTATTCCGCCAATCGATGCCACTGATTTTGAGATTAATCCTGATATCATTCAAGTGATATCAATTAATCAATTTGGCGGTTTGAAACATGAAGATCCGATATTGCATATGTTGTGGTTTAACAGAGTCTGTAACACATTCCGGATCAATGAAGTGTCAATTGACATCGTGAAACTTATCTTATTCCCATTCTCTCTTCGGGATAAGGCTGTTCGGTGGTTAAATTCTTTTCCACCCGGTCACTTCACCACCCGGAATGCTCTTCATCTGGCGTTCATGCACGAGTATTTTTCTCCATCGGCAGTTGCACACATCAGAACCTTGATTCAAAATTTCAGACAAGCTCCAATGGAAACAATAAGTGAGGCTTGGGATCGATACAAAGGCCTACAGAGAAAGTGTCCTAAACAATTGATGGATGCTTATGACTTGATGTTCTATTTCTACTATGGACTTCAAGTTGTAAGTAAAAGAGAGTTGGACCATTATTCAAAGATGGGTTCTTTTCTCGACATGACACTGAAAGAGAGTGAAACACTCATGGAGAATGTGGTCTCAAATGCTAAGAACTGGTACTATGAGACAGAATCTTCTTTCGAGACTACACTTCAAAGCACCGATCAAATCTCAGCCCTCACAACAATAATTGACAACCTGGCAACTCAAGTGAAGAATCTCAAATCACAATCGAGCCAGGTAAATAAGCTGAGTCATTTCATGGAAGTTCAGGAAGGTTTGGTGGATGCTAGTACTGAAGCACCCAAAATTGATGAAGAATCCATAGACGAGAGATGGACGTCCACTGAAAAGCAAAACTTAGTGGGGCTTCAAAATGAGGGATTTGATGAAGATGATGAAAGTGAGAGTGAAGAATTCTTTGAGCCAATTTCAGAAAAAGTTGACGTGGGAGGCATTTTGTATGAAAGTGAGTTTGATAAGGCATCTCACCGAGAGGGGGAATTTGAAATATTTGTGGGTTCACCATGCAAAAATTTTAAGGAGAAAACCCCTGAGAAGAGCAATGAAATTGAGGAGCTTCTGGATCTACTTTTGGAGACTTTGGATGTGCAAGTTGACCAAGAAAATTTTGCACAAAATGTGGAAGAAGAAAGTGTGGAGGAGGTCCTTGACTTGCTCCTTGATGTACTTGATACTAGTACAATGCTCAAAATAGTCCAGATTGAAGGGGATCTGGAGAATGAGGATGACTTTCCTTATTTTATTTTACCACCTGAAAATGAGAAAGATGCACAGGCCTTTGCTCTTGCTTGTGAGTTTTTTATGAAACAGAGGTGGTACACAAGAAGAGTCCCGAGGGTCAAGCTGTATGATCCGAGAGTTGGAAAGTCAAGGAAAAAGTGAAAAAAAACGTCAAGCTAGTGACGTTAAAGAAGCGCTTTTGGGAGGCAACCCAATTGTTAAAAAGAAAAAAAAAATTCAAAAAAAAGATGCAAAAAAAAAAACAAAAAAAAATTATTTCCTTTTTTCCCCTTGTTTGTGTGTTAGTTTTGATTCATATTTATTTTCTTTAGCTTTTTCAGGTTAATTACAGGAGTTCCCCGATTGGATTAAAATTTGATTTGTGCTTGCTCTTTCATCTTCTTCAATATTGAGCACAAGGGAGTACTTCTTTTCTCTGTTAATTATTTCCCTCCCTGTTTATTTATTTGTGATTCATCTTAAGTGTGAGGAGGGTACTTTTGAAAAATTCATATTTGCCCTGTTTTATTTTGATTTTATTTTGAGACCTCGAGGACGATGTCTATTCTCAAGTGTGAGGAGGGTTTGAAACAGGGCAATGGACTGATCTAGTGTGCATGACAAGAGGCTCAGGTGAACTAAGTTAAGATCATTAACAAGCTAAGGTGTAATCTACTTTATCTATTTTTTTTGAAAGTTTTGTTATAACTAATATTTTTATTCGCATCATACTTTTAAAAAAATCTTTAATTATTAGGAGATATGCTTGATTTCTACTTAAAAGTTATGTGCACAAGTTTGGGGTTTTGATTTGAATGATTGTTCGGTCTTACTTTCTTTTCATGGATATATACAATGCTCGTTGGTTAGCTTAAAATTTAAATTCTTTGGATTAGGGAGAATTCTATCCTCGAATGAGGCTCTGCTTTTAGCATTTGGTAGAATATCTCTCGCTATTCTGGTTGTACTTGATTATTGATTTGAAAAGTGTCTTCGTTGGGAGTCTCATCTCCGAGAAGGGGCGCTGCTCTTCTCATTATCGTATTCTGCGAGAGTTGAGTATATTTTATATATTTTATGAGATAGCCCCACAAATCAATGATTTAGTTTAACCATAAAATTCTTACCAACTTGGCTTGGTTTATAGCTCCCCCAAGTTCATTCAAAAAAAAAAAAAAACAGAACAAAAAAAAAACGCTAAGGGAGCTAAAACTGTTTTTAGAACTCGAGCTTGTGTGTATTTCATGACTAGTTAAGGATGACCGAGGGGTTTTGAATGTGAATGTTGACTTGTGCTCATAACTAATTAGTAGCAGTTTTTGCATATATGCTAGCATTAAAGGATTTTTTTATTAGTATGTTGTGTCATAAAAGTTTAGTTATTAATGTACTTTCATGGAAATATAGTTAGATAGATTGGGATCTTAGTCTATTAATGGTTGAATCTAAGTGATCTTGAGTCCTTGAGTTGTGCACTATAAACAGTTTGCCTTGAAAATGTGCTTGAGAGTAGTTTTGTTGCTTGAGGGCAAGCAACGCTTAAGTATGAGGAGATTGATAAGTCTGATTTGTTCATATATTTTTACTCACTTTTTATAGTGTTTCTTGTTAAACTCAAGGCAAATTGATATACTTTTCTGTGTTTTTGTTGCATTTTTGTTCATGTTTAAAATTAGTGTCGAAATTTACGTTTTTTGCGTGATTTGTGTTTAATTCAAGTGTTTGGATTGTGTTTTTGTTTTTTTTGTTCTTATTTGTGTTATCTGTATTTTGTGATTTGTCAAATTTTAGTATTATATTATATTTCAATGTTATTTTAATACAATAATCAAATAAAGCAAAAAAAATCATGAAAAGGAAATAAAAAAAAAACAAGCAGCGTAGCTGCATTTCAAAATCAGAATAAACAAAAAGAAAGAAAAAAATCACAAAAGCAGCCAAGCTGCGTAACAAAGAAAACAAAACAAAATAAACAAAAGAATAAAAAAAATAAACAAAGGAGATAAGATGGGAGTAGTCGGCCAACAAAAACAAGAGGAGGAAAGTTAGCAAGAAGCTCCTGCACATGGGCGGTAAAACAGGAAGGGACAGCTCGATCCATCAGCCAACCAAGAAAATAAGGAGTGCATTTCTAGTTGCAATAAAAGAGCTCTTGGCCGCAAGGGAAGTAACATTCAGCTGCAGAAACATATACACACCCAGCTCCAATTCGAAGGAGGCAAAGGATTGAGCTGAAAATATACACCTGAAAAACTCAGCCGCAAGTAGCTCCGGCAGAAAAATTCAAGCTGTTAGGGAGAAGAATAGAGCTCAAAACACTCAGAAGAAAATGGGAAACGAAGCACATAGCAGCACCAACAGTTCTGGTTAATCTTTTGTTATCTTTCAATTTCAATCCTAATTTCATGCTTAGATTCAAACTTCAATAAGCTTTCAGTTTTAATTTCCGTATTATTTCATATTTGGAATTGCTATTTACTTGGGATTATTATTGGATACTTGTGTTGTTAATGACGTTTAAGTACTGTTTAGTAATATCTGCATGTTGCTCTAGCCCTTTTATAAATTGTTTTAGTTTCTTAATAATAATAATTATGTTAGGCTAAAATTCCCTTGGGGTTTGGATTTGGATAAAGTTAAGGTTAATGGGTATTCTTGAATATTGAATTGAGTTTGGGAAATTCTCTAATTTTTAGGACTAGTTGTTTGAGATAAATTTGAATGAGTAATTTGTGAAATTGATCACTTCACTTGTGAATGTTTGGAAAATTAATTCTTGCTTGTCTATGAGTGTAGAATTAATTTAGTTCACATCTCACACATCCTAAACTAAGCCTAGAAATAGGACATGTTAGGGAATTAAAATTAAATTCTTGTCTATGAGAATTAATGTTACTATTCTTAGATTGGAGAAAATACCCAAATTTATTTATAATCAAAGACACTCAAGATCCTTACTTCCAATTCTAAACCCCACTTTTAATTAGTTAATTTATTGTTACTAGTCACATTAAATTTACCTTTTAGCATTTTATTTTCAAAACTTTTTTTCATCCACATGTTCGTTAGTTTAAATTAGTATTTTAATTTCTCTCTCAATTTATTTTGCATGTTCACTAGTTTTAGTTTACTCATTAATGTCATTTAATTAAATTCCCCGCTACTACTTTTGTTGTTTAATTTTATTTACTTAACCATTATCATAATTAATCGATTGAGAAAGCTTGCAACGACTCGTACTAACCGGTGACCGATATTGAAACCAACACTTCCCTCCGCCACTCCTCAGAGACACGATACTCGGGGATAAATTTTTCCATCCGGAAAGGTTAAACTCCGTTTTACTACAACGCCGCGAAAGCGGTTATCAGGAGGGTATACTCTCTCCTCTTAGTGTTCACCTCAAAATCAGAATAGTATTGGGCAAAGAACTCCTGTCGGAAATTCTCCCAAGTCACGGTATTGCCATACTTTCCCTTGGCTCCGTCCCACCATGTGGATGCCATCCCTTCAAGCAATCTCACCGCCACCCTTAGTTTAAATTCGGGGGTGAGTTGCATATCAAGGGCTGCTTCGTTCAACCTCTTGATCCATTCCGCGGCGACCGAGATGTCACCTGCTCCGTTGAAGGGTTTGCACCCCAAGTCTCTCGCCTCTTTGAGAAATTTTGAGATCCTTATGATTGGACCTCCATCACCTCGGCCCCCATGTGGTTCAATGTGGGCCCTAGAGTCGGCATGGCTTCTTCCTCTTGAAGCCCCACCCGAAGTTCGCCCTCCTCGGCGCCTTCGGCGTTCCCTCCTTTCCTCGCGCTCCCGCTGATATTGCTGGAGCAGCGCCTCAATTCTTGCTAGGGAGTCATTCTCCCCTTCTTCATCACTTACATCATCATCTTCCCCTTCATAAGGGGTCTCAACTGGTTCTGTTTCCGGCCGATAGGTCGAGTCCTCATATGACCAGTAGCTCTCGTTCTCGGTGCTCACATGACCGTCGCTCACGGTCTGTGATCGGCCTCCACGGCCAGCTCCTCCAGATGCTCTAGAGGTCCTTCGACTGCCCTGTCCAGTCTCCACTGGTACACGGCCCGTCGGGTTCCTTCTCGTAACCTTGCCACCACCGTCCATTTCTGAAAGAAATTTTGGAAAGAGTCATTAGACTCGTGTCAAATGTCAATTGACGGATAGGTACTTAAGACACTACTTGGCTTGAATTGTTGCCATACCAATTGCTAAGGGTACCATCTTAACAATTAGAGACCTTGCAACCCAAGTACCAAAAGCTCTCCAAGTACAAAACTTCTATGCTCATGGTTTTCAAAATCTTTTCAAAAAGAGAATTTTGAGACTTCATTATGAAGTTTATGGACTAAGGCTCTGATACCAATTAAATTGTCACGCCCCAGACCTACCCAGACACGTCAACAACCCGCCGTACAATACGAATAGTCAACCGCAGTCCAACACATTCATATTATACAAGGCGTCATGAATATCATTCACACATATAACATCCATAAACAAACATAATAAGTAATTGAAAAAATTCCACTTTTGGTCCCATGACTATTATGCCACTTCTACATTAATCCCCTGACTTTCAATTTAACCAAATGTAGTCCTTGACTTTTTCTCCATAACCACCTGTCGTCCTTCCGGTCTCAATTCCGGCTAATGTCAACCGGAAAACAATTAATGAGGGGGCATTTCAGTAAATTTAGGTTAAAAAACGGTTACCTGATAAACTTTAACATTAAGTTAACTTAATGTTTAGTTAATACGACCATCCCCCTCTACCTCAAAAACCAAAGTGTGTTCTCCCTCTCAAGTCTCAACAAAGCTTCAGTCACCTCTGAAAAATCCCCAAAATCGTTCGAAGAATGAGGAACCGTCTGGACCGTCGGTGTGAAGGAGAAGGAACAAGTGCTGAACGGAGGTCGCCAACAAATGTTTCTGATAAAGGTAAGAGGCTGAACTTTTATAAGAGAGTGGAAGAAATGATTGAATATAAGTCTGAACTGAGGTGTATATATTTGGTGTTTGCAGTGTATGCACATGTTAGAGGTTTTATGTTGAGGTTCCCTTTTCCCCTTTTCCTTTTTCCCTTTATGCGTTCACATGGTAGGGTAGGTTTTTTTTTTTGGGTGAGATTCCCTTGGCCGGTTGTCTTAGCTTTAACCATTTTAGAAATGGGACCAGTTCACTTTTAACTTTACGCAAGGTTATACCCATACATGCTTTTCTTTTGTTTTTTAGTAGTATTTATCAAATATATTTATGGTGTTGTTGTAACCTATTAAAGACATTATTGAGCTAACATTGAAAAGGCATATATAACACAGGTTCAGACAACTGTGGAAACACTTTTACTTTGAGGTTGTTTTATGGAGGTAAAGTCTATGACAAGGATAAACCTGCATACACGGGAGGGTCAATCCATAATTTTCATGATGTAGAGGTTGATGAGTTCAGTTTGATTGTGTTGAATGAGAAGTTACAAGAACTTGGCTGCACCAAGAAACTTATGACAGTGTACTCCTATTCCAATGAGGATGAGTCCCTAAAACAACTACACAGTGAGGCTGAGGTTTGGGGGATTGTGAATGATGGAATTGTTGGTAAGGTGGTGGAGTTATGGGTAGAATTAGAACCCAGTGGTGACACTGAAGATGATGATGACCCTGAAGATAGTGACTTTGCCTACAGTGAGAAGGAGTTAGAAGAATTTCCTGGAGATGAAAATGACTCTGATTTGGAAGACTTCATTTCTAAGGAGGCTGCTGAGTTATCTGCTCATGGAGGGTTAAGTAGCAGTAGTGAAGGAGAAGATCACTTGCCTGAGGCTTCAATGGTAGATCCGGATCCTAACTTGTCAGATGATGGTTCCATACATGAATCTGATTCTGACTCTGAGAAGTGGACTAAATTCTCTGCCAAGACTGATATGAAAGACCCAACCTTTAAGTTGGGTATGACATTTGCCACCAAACAGGAATTCAAAGAAGCTGTGGAAAATCTTGCATTTAAGAATGGTAAAGATGTGAGATTTGTTAAAAATGATAAGGAACGGGTTGTTGTGGAGTGCAAGCATATAGGTTGCCCATGGAAGATGAATCTTAGAAAAGTAATGAACTCTCATTCTTGGGTGATTTTACAGTACCATTCCAAACATGAAGGTTGCTCTTGGGTCTATCACAACAAAATGGTGAACTCAAGCAAGGTAGCAAATAGGTGGTTCAAAGAGATTGAAAGTCACTCAAATTGGAAAACTAAAGAGTTTAGACAGAAAGTATGTACTGAAGAACGCTTCCATTTGAGTCTCAGGCAAGCTTATAGAGCAATAACTAAGGCAAAGAGGAAACTGCAAGGTGAAGAAGAAGATTACTTCAAGAAGATATGGTCATATGTGGCTGAAATAAGAAGAACCAATCCTGGGAGCACTTGTGTTGTGAAATTGAGTGATAATGTTGAGGTGGATGGACAACAAAGATTTCTGAGGATGTATATGTGTTGGGAAGCCTGTAGGGAAGGATTTAAACATTGTAGGCCAGTGCTTGGGGTTGATGGCACTCATCTGAAGACCAAGACAGGGGGGGCAACTTTTAGTTGCAATTGGAGTAGATGCAAATAATAGCATCTTTCCACTTGCTTATGCTATTGTTGAGGGTGAAAGTAGAGAATCTTGGGCTTGGTTCTTGAACCTAGTGAAGATGGATGCTGAGATCACAGAAGCCAATGAGCATGTCTTCACTTTAATGTCAGACAAGCAGAAAGGGCTAATTCAAGCTGTGAATGAACTACTACCAGGTGTTGAGCATAGATTTTGTGTGAGGCATCTACATGGCAACATGAAGGCTGCAGGTTTTACTGACAAAGCTCTAAAGGATACTCTGTGGGAATGTAGCAAGGCATGCACTTTGAACTCATACAAAGCTGCCCTATCCAGATTCAAAGAGATTGATGGGCAAGCATTTGAGTGGCTGGCAGACAAGCACCCCAGAGAATGGTCAAGAGCACACTTCTCTACTCAATCCAAAACTGACATGTTGACCAATAATATTTGTGAGTGCTTTAACAGTGTAATACTAGAGGCCAGACAACAAGCCCTTTTGGTGTGCCTAGAAAATATAAGGAAAATGCTTTTAACAAAGTTGTTCACTAGCAGGACTAAGGCAAGAAAGTGGACCTCAAATCTGTGCCCTAGAATAGTTAAAAAAAATTCAAGAGACTGAGAAGTTAGCTGCAGGTTTGATTGGCTATCAGTGTGGTGACAATGACTTTGAGATAATGGGATCGCATGGTAACCAACATGGTGTGGATTTGGAGAAGAGAACATGCACTTGCAGGCAGTGGGACTTAACTGGGATCCCCTGCAAGCATGCAATATGTGCTATTTGGCTGAAATTTGGAAAAGGACCTGTTGATGCATATGTCCACCCATGTTATTCTAAAGACACTTATTTGCAGATATATGGAGGCTCCATAAAGCCAATGGCTGGGCCAGATGAGTGGCCTTTAAGTGACAGACTTCCCCCTCTTCCACCAGTATATGCTGCTAGAGCTGGAAGACCAAGAAAACTGAGAAGAAAATATGCAGTTGATCTGAGCACAGATGGAGTCCGAGTAGCAAGAACACATATTAAATTGCATTGTTCAAAGTGCAAGAAGGCAGGCCACAATGCAAGGAGATGTCCGGACGATCCTAACATCAAGGAGAAGCTGGTATATTGTCCATCTATATTTTATAAGGTTATTTTCTTATTATGATATATTGTGTGTATTGTGTGCATTAACTACATTGTCTTTACATGTTATCAGATGCAACCTAGGAAAAGAAACAGGAAATCTAAGAGCAGACAGAGTGTTGGACTGCATGATAGAGATGAGGGAGTATCTATACAGGAAGAGCTTGTTGATGAGTCCAACCTTGTTGACATTACCATGATGTGTGCCGAGGAAGCTATTTTTGGAAGTGAGGTTCCTATTGTTGTGAGTGTGGAGGACACTAATATGTTTACACAAGACACACAACTCACTCAGGTCTCAGAAGAGAGGACAGAAGAAACCAAAGAAGAGAGCAAAGAAAAGAGGGCAGATGAGGGGAAAGAAGAGAGCAAAGAAGAGAGCAAAGGAGAGAGTGAAGAACAGAGCAAGGAGGTATCAGAAGAGGAGACTGTTGGGACTTACCAGAGGACAAAGCAAGGTGTTAGGATATGCTATGGACCACCCCCTAGTCAAAAGAAGGGCAGTACAAGTGTTCCTAAATCTTCTCAGGTTAATCCGAGACCCAAACTCACCATTCAAAGGGGACCAAGCTATGCTACTAGATCCAAAACAACATTCAAATCAGTCTTCTTTGGAAGTGATGATGAACCCATTGATATAGAGTAGTGGTTGGAGTCAAATGTTTATGAATGATGGTACTTTGATGATGTAATTGTATGGACTACCTTTTTTTGTTGGTCCCGTTTAATATGGTAATCAGTCTAGAGGGGGGGGGGGGGGAATAGACTGATTGGTTTTTCAAATTTTCTCTAAGTCCAAAGTGACTTATCAGAGAAGGTCTGATTCTGGTGACAGAGAAAGGCTGGTTCTGATATCAGAACTGGCCTTGGCAGCGGATTCTGATCTGTCCGGGTAGCCTCAGAAACACTAAGGCAAATGCCTTTCTGATAACTCTGAAAACAAGATCTGCTGAACACAGATTCCAAGTCTTAGAGTTAACAGTTAATATCCTAAGTGTAGAAATGTAAATTGCAGTAAAGTAAATGACACCGGATATTTTTATAGTGGTTCAAGGAACAACTCGTTCCTCTAGTCCACTGTTCCACTAGCTTTGAAGTAGATCGGTTACAAAGCTTAGTCCCTAGCACTTAAGAAGTTCTTCACGCCTTCTTCAAGTCTAGCTGCCACCCAGGATGCAGTTCCACGTCCTGATGGCTGGTCCTTTCACTCAGCTTCCCGGAAGTATCACCACTTCACTACTGCAGTTACTTGGACGCCCTTCTTTTCAGAAGATCCTTTGAAAAACAGAGTTTTTCCTCCAACTTGCTTCGTCACAAATGATGTTTGATGAAGTTCTTGAAGAGTTGAAGAACAGGATGAACTTTGCTTGTTTGTTGGGGATGAGAGATTTGGAGTTTGAATCTTCCCAACGTAAGCTCGTTTTGTTGAAGGTTGTAGAATTTGAATCTCAAGAGAGCTTGAGTTATGATGACCAAAAGTTGTGGCAAAGTTATTTTTCTGTTCTTCGGTGTGTAGCTTATATACTGGGGTTGTCTGCCCGTTGGAGGAGGAGACAACTGCATTGAATGCGCGTACTGTTGACTTGACCGTCGTTTTGGAAGGTTTCTATTTTTATAATATATCTTCCCGGATTCTTTGGTCAATCATTTGCAATCAATCCTTCAGCGTATCAGGCTCATTTAATGTGCATTAAATGCTTTCCTTTCATGCACTGTCTTGTAGCCGTTGGATGTTTTTACCCGTTGGATTCAGAGCTGTTGGATGTTGCTTGAAATTTTCTAAGTGTTCGTCGGGCTCTGATCAGGCTCTTCTGATGTGTTGGATTCTGATGGCTTTCTGATGAGTTGAGTTATGATGGAGTTCTGATATCTGACTGAACTCTGACTCTGATAGGTTCGCTGATGAGTACCTCTGATCTGTAGTTCTCATCGGTCATCAGATGTCCAGGGTTATCAGCAACTCTCATAGTGCAACTCTGATGGACTTCTGCTAAGAGAACTCTGATGGTGCAGTTCTTATAGAGCAAGTCTGGTAGAGCAATTCTGATGCACTTCTGATCTGATCCAAAACAGAGCAACTCTGATCGTCGACTACACTAATACTTACAATTGAAAATTCTAATACATAAAATCTAATTAGGGGTACTTTAACTTTCTAATCCTATAGCATCATCAAAATCTAATTACATTTATTCCTTACAATTTCCCCCTTTTTGATGATGCCAAAACCCTTAAACTATTTCCAGAGAAGTGCCTTTCACCATAAAGGAAATAAGTTAAAAATAAACTTTCATTTAAAATCTTGGTGGGCACTTGGCATAGGAAAGTAGTAAGAGTAAGATACAATTTAAACAAATAAATAAGATAAGAAATAACACAAGATATCAGAGCATAAATAATCAGAATGCAATAGAGAAATAATTTGAAATTGCCATGCAAAATAGAGGCAAGCTGGTTATCTTATTAATGAAAGATATTTAAAGCAACAAGAGGATAGAGTTTAGATATCTTCCTCTTCTAGTTGAGCTTCCTTTGCATCAATTTCCTTCAGATCAGCATTGACCTTTGCTCTGATGGAAGCTAGGTTCCTTGGGTTCTGACACTCTGCCCAGGCAGGTTCAAGCTTGCAGTCAAGGTAATTTCTGATGGCTTCAGAGAAGTCCTTGCCAGGGATCACTTTCATTCGCCACCAGTCTTCTGCTTCTTGCATAGAACCGCCATGATTAATGATGATTGTCCCATCTCTATCTAGAATAAGATTTTCCTGTTGGAGAGGTGTCATGTGCTTCTTCATTTCTTGAAACTGAGCAGCATCCGGTTTAGCTAGATCACTTTTAAGCCATTGAGCAAGAGTGAAAGTTGCCTTCTTTCCTCTCTTGGGTCGAGGAGGAGGAGGTCTTTGAATACCAGCAGCAATCTGCTTCTGCCTGGCTCTCTCAAAGTATATAGAAGGATCAGGCTTACCAGAAATAGGGGTCAGGGCTCTGGTGCTTGTGCCTTCTGTAGCTCTGATGGTTTTGACAGGTTCTCTGCTATCTTCCCCCTTTTTGGCATCAACAAGATCACCAAGTAGGAGTCCAATTTTCGAGAACTCTGTAGCATTGTTTTCCTTGATTGCTTCGAGAGCTCATGGGATAGTTTGAGTAACAGAAGCCAGTCCTTCTATTAGCTCCTTTTGCTTGCCCACAGCGGACTGAATATCCTTGGTAGTAGCTTCAAGGAGAGTCAACTTGTGATCTCTGTCCTTTCCACTGTTTATCAATTTGATGTCAAATTCCTTCAAGGTTTTGCAGATGTCCTCTACATCTGTGAGTTGTTCAGCATGCTTATCAGAGGACCATTGAAGATCATCCACAGCATCAGATAGGTCTTGAATAGCCTTGTCTTGAGCAGAGAGAGTCAGAGATTGAGAGTAGAGGACAGTGTGAATGCTTGCTACCTCTGAGGCTATATTGTCTGCTTTAGCATTAGATGTCTTCATGTAGCTCAGGAAGGTAGTGGCCAAAGTGGAGAGTGTATTGGATATCTTGGCAAGCTCTGACTCAATGTTGTACTGAACCAAATCCAGATGAGCATCATGCTTCTGATTCAGTACAAGCATTTTGTTGATCCCAGCAATCATTTGGTCTCCAAATTCTTCGGCTGACTCCACAAACTCTTGAAACGGTATAAGAACTTCTTTTGGAGGCTTTTGCTGAGGTACCTCATTGATTTGGGGTTGAGGTTGAGGTTGAGGTTGGTCAGGAGATAGAGGAGGAGTAGGGGTCTTCCTCTTGTTAGATTGGAGGTCACACGCCAGAGAGGATGTAAGAAACCCATCATTATCTTCAGTTGAGGAGGGAATCCTTACAACTGGTTCTCTCTTTTGTGTGGAGGCTGCAGAATGCTGAGGGGAAGGACATTTAGATGTAGGCTTCTGCTGAGGAGAGGGAGATTTGGATTTCTGATGGTTGGGGCTCTGATGAGGTGAAATTTGAGGGATAGGGGTTCTCTGAGGTTGTGATGGAGGAGGAGGTGAGGGTGATCGGCTTCTGATGGGGGTTATCTGATGGCAGGGTGATGGTTGTTTAGGTGTGGGCGATTTCTTGGGTGATGGAGATGGGATTTGCTGAGGTTGAGAAGGAGATGGGGGTGGAGTTGTGGTTGGTGTGACTGGTTTGGGTGAAGGGGATTTGGGAGGTGAGTGAGGGGGAGATACTGGTATTGCCTCTAAGACTGTTTCTTCAACTGGAGATTCTCTCCATTCTCTGATCAGATTCATCATGGCCAGAGACATATCATTTGCAGTAGAGGGTTCACCTTCTGCACCTGGAAGGGGCTTCATCTTGATGAGAGACTCCCTTCTTTTCTTCTCCATCAGCCATGCATCAAAGATGGGAATCTCACTCTCTGATAGAGGCTTGACATGTGTAAGGAATAAATGTAATTAGATTTTGATGATGCTATAGGATTAGAAAGTAAGAGTACCCCCAAATTAGATTTTATGTATTAGAATTTTCAATTGTAAGTATTAGTGTAGTCGACGATCAGAGTTGCTCTGTTTTAGATCAGATCAGAAGTGCATCAGAATTGTTCGACCAGACTTGCTCTATGAGAACTGCTCCATCAGAGTTCTCTTAGCAGAAGTCCATCAGAGTTGCATCATAAGAGTTGCTGATAAACCTGAACATCTGATAGCCGATGAGAACTACAGATCAGAAGTACTCATCAGCGGACCTATCAGAGTCAGAGTCAGAGTTCAGTCAGAGATCAGAAGACCATCAGAACTCAACTCGTCAGAAAGCCTTCAGAATCCAACATTTCAGAAGAGCCTGATCAGAGCCCGACGAACACTTAGAAAAATTTCAAGCAACATCCAACAGCTCTGAATTCAACGGGTAAAAATATCCAACGGCTACAAGACTGTGCATGAAAGGAAAGCATTTAATGCACATTAAATGAGCCTGATACGCTGAAGGATTGATTGCAAATGATTGACCAAGGAATCCGGGAAGATATATTATAAAAATAGAAACCTTCCAAAAACGGCGGTCAAGTCAACAGTACGCGCATTTAATGCAGTTGTCTCCTCCTCCAACGGGCAGACAACCTCAGTATATAAGCTACACACCGAAGAACTGGAACTTAACTTTTGCTACAACTTTCGCTCATCATTCAAGCTCTCTTGAGATTAAAACTCTACAACTTTCAACAAGACAAGCTTACGTTGGGAAGATTCAAACTCCAAATCTCTCATCCCCAACAAGCAAGCAAAGTTCATCCTGTTCTTCAACACTTCAAGAACTTCATCAAACATCATTTGTAACGAAGCAAGTTGGAGGAAAAACTCTGTTTTTCAAAGGATCTTCTGAAAAGAAGGGCGTCCAAGTAACTGCAGTAGTGAAGTGGTGATACTTCCGGGAAGCTGAGTGAAAGGACCAGCCATCAGGACGTGGAACTGCATCCTGGGTGGCAGCTAGACTTGAAGAAGGCGTGGAGAACTTCTTAAGTGCTAGGAACTAAGCTTTGTAACCGATCTACTTCAAAGCTAGTGGAACAGTGGACTAGAGGAACGAGTTGTTCCTTGAACCACTATAAAAATATCCGGTGTCATTTACTTTACTGCAATTTATATTTCTGCACTTAGGATATTATCTGATTAACTCTAAGACTTGGAATCTGTGTTCAGCAG